AGCATGATGATCGCATCAGGAATGGGACAGACTTAATTAGATTGTGGATCTTGGAAGAAAGCTGTAATCCCATTGCTGAGCTTGGTGTCAGACTGGGCATGTGGCCAGTGGAAGGTGTTAGGGGAGGTGCTGGGCCTGGCAGAGCCCTTAGCTCAGACATGAGGGAAGCAGCTCAGTCCCGGAGCTGCCTGGGCCCCAGTGAGGACCAGAAATCCCTGGGGAGCAGTTCCAAGGGCCATGTCTGCCCTGTGCAGTGGGGCTGCCCAGAGGATACAACAGCTGCGGTGGCAGTGAGCAGCAAGTCAAGGAGGGAATCGCTGGGAAGGCTCCAGGTGACAGGGCCTGAGGCTGGGAGAGCAGCTTGAGCAGCACTTTGGGAACACTGTCCCACATGTCCCAAGCTGTCACCCTTCCTACCTCCTGTCTTGGCTTGTCAGTGCTGGGAGTGTGGAGTCCTGACTGCTGCCAGCCCTTGGAGGTGGCTGGGCTGGGCTCTTGGAAGCACTGGTGCTGATGGTGAGGTGCTCATGTGCTGCAGGAGTCCAACGGCCCCACGGATGCCTACGCAGCCATAGCCAAGGCCGACCGGCTGACCCAGGAACCCGAGAGCATCCGCAAGTGGAGGGAGGAGCAGAAGAAGCGCCTGGAGGAGCTGGGTGAGACCCAAGGCCATGTGTAGCCCCCTGTGCTTGTGGCACCTTGTGACATGGCAGTCAGGGCCCTTGGGGTCCCTCACCTCTTGGTGACCCTGCTGCATCCCAGAGAGATGTCTCGTGCCCCTGCCAAAGATCTGCTGTCCTTGGGGCAGTGGTGCTTCTTGGCCAGTATTGGTGGGGACTGGGGATGGGTGTGAGGGGCTGCAGCTGTCCTGCCTGCTGAGGGGCTGCTCAGCACACCCAGCAGGTGCCAGAGTGGTTGATGGGCTCTGTCTCACTTGGGCCTTAGATGCGGCATCGAAGGTGACTGAGCAGGAATGGCGTGAGAAGGCCAAGAAGGACCTGGAGGAGTGGAACCTGCGTCAGAATGAGCAGATGGAGAAGAACCGAGCAAACAACAGGTATGTCAGGGTCAGCATGGCCAAAAGGACTGTCTGCCTTCCTGGGATGTTTGAGGGCCTCTTTCCCCATAGTGGGGTCCAGCCCTGCAGGGACAGAGCTTTGCCAAGCAAGGGGAGAGTCCCCAGGTCTTGGAGTGGCTCTGGTGGCTGTGCAGAGCCACTCTGGCTGGAACCACACTGGGATCACCCTGGGATCTCAGTGCCTCCTGCCCCTGCATGGGGCTCGCAGAGGGGACAGGGTTGGGCTCCAGGTTCTCCTGGTGTGCTGAAGTGTGTGGGTGACTCTTTGGGAGGACTAACCCCCTCTGTTCTCTCTTTCTAACCCTCTGGCTGCCTGTCGCTCCGCTCCGCTCCACTCTCTCTCTCTCTGTGCCCGGGGCTAGGATCGCTGACAAAGCCTTTTACCAGCAGCCGGACGCCGATGTCATTGGCTACGTGTATGTGCCTCTTACAGACCATATCCTGCCCCAAAGGCTCTGGGGGTTCCGGCCCCAGCACTGCCTGCCCAGCCAAGGGAAGGGGGGAAGCTGGGAGGTACTGGCCTGGTGAGGTACCAAAGGGAGGATGATGCAGCTGAGTGTCTCCAAATTGTGGAGTTTTAGGAGATGAGTGGAGCTCCTAGAAATGTCTCTGTGGGAGCTGGTTGAAGATGCAAAGCCATGGGCTCTTATGCCTCTTCTTGGGGATGGCTGTGTGGGGGTGAAGTCTTGGGAGCAGGCAGATACTCCTGCACCCCTGGATGAATGATGTTTTGGATGAGTGCAGCCAAAGGCAGACTTGAGCATCGTGTGTCTCTCAGTCCCAGAGGACACTGAGCTTATCAGCTGGAGTAAAGGGACAGGAAGCAGGAACATGAGGGTTTTTAAGACAGAAGGAAGAATCTCCTTGGAAAGGGCTCTGCCAGTGACAACCCTCAATATCTTTGCAGGGCCTCGGAGGAAGCATTCCTGAAGGAGTCCAAGGAGGAGACCCCAGGCTCTGAGTGGGAGAAGGTGGCCCAGCTGTGTGACTTCAACCCCAAGAGCAGCAAGCAGAGCAAGGATGTCTCGCGGATGCGCTCGGTGCTCATCTCCCTCAAACAGACGCCCCTGTCCCGTTAGCTGTGCCTGGCACAGCCGGGAGCACAGCGGGCATGGCTGGGCTCACTGAGCCAGGTGGCTTCAGGGGCCGGCCCAGGAAGGGCCTCCCACCCCCTGCTCCGTGATCTGCGCCTTGGCTGTGCTCGAGTCACTGGTTGTATAACTCTCCCCATGGTTTTCCTTTGCTTAAAAGGTGCATTGGTCTCTTTTTACACTTATTTATAAATCACTGTGGCATTTCCCCGGGAAGCGGCACTGGGTGGCAGAGCTGAGTTAGTGGGGAAGCCCCAGCCCAGGCTCTTCAGGAGTTTATGTCTGAAGGCCTGGCTAAATGAGCAGAAAATATCCCATCTTGTGTTCCCCACTTCAGCCCTGTGCTGGGAATAAACCTGCCTGCAGCTGTCCTGGCAGCCCCATGTCCAGGCTTCAGTCCTCGCCCTGAGGCAGGGATCCCAATGGGATCCTGGGCTGCTGTCTGCCTTTCCCATGAGATTTAGAGGAGAGCTGGAGCAGGGTTGGGAGGGTGGAGAAACAGCCCTGGCTTGTCTCCACACTGCTGGCTCCTGCAGGGAGCATGGCTAGAGCATGGCATTGCCAGACTGGCAGGGACTGAGGAATGTGAGTACAGGTGCCCAGGTTGGGCCTGGACTGCCAGTGGCTGCTCCAAGCCCATCAGAACTCTGCCCAGCCTGGCTATGCCCCGAAAAGTTGGTGCAGCTCCAGCGTCCATGTCCCATCCATCCTGCAGTGCTGGCAGCACAGTGGTGTGGGCCACTGGGAAGGGACTGTGGGGGGAGTGTTCAGGATGTGTCCTCTCCTTCCCCCATGAACACCAGCAGTTGGGAATGTGGGATTCCAGGCTTTGGGGACCTTTGGCTTTGCTCTGCTCCTTCCCTTGCTACCAGAATGGGAGATGGAGGCTGTGTAGTTGCAGGGAAGGAGGTAGGAAGGTCCAGCTGCTGTGGGGCAGGTCAAACCCCCGTCTTCCTAACCCAGGGGCCCAGAGCAGGGTTGGGCAGAGTTCTGGTGCTGGGGCTTGTACTGGCCCTGAGAACAACCTGCACATCTGTCTGCAGTTGCTGTGCCCCCTGGATTTGCCCACCTAAGGCAGTGTGGGGAGATGCCTCAGTCCTGCTCCCTGCTCAAACTTTTCCTCCTCTGCTTGGCAGGGATGGCACCAGTCCTGGGAACCTGCACAACTCCTGGGTAGCAGGAGAGGGACAGCCTTGAGCTGGTGCTCTGGGTCTGGCCTGTTGAGGACTTGGGAAGGGCTTGCAGCATCTTGGGAGGACATAGAGCAGAGCCCACAAAATATTCACTTGAACCCTTCTGCAGAGCCCTGCTCAGCTGGAAATCAAGTGTGCAGAGCTCTCCTGCCCTGCAGCTGTGGCTCCAGGGCCAGAATGTCACCAGTCCTGTTGCTGCAGCTGTGGGGGGTGCCTGGGCACCCACAGCTCTGGGGCATGATCTCACCAGTGGGCTGGGAAGGTAAATGGGTGTGTAGGAATCACTTGCTGTTGTGTGTTGGGACTGTGCCCCCTGCCCATAGGGCTGATCATTCCTGCCCGGCCCCCTGAGCTCCAGCATGCGTAGGCAGCTCTGCTGTGCTGCAGGACACCTGGGGACTCGGCTCCTGCCTCAGCCTTGCATTGCAGAGCAGCAGGAAGCACCTCTGGCTACCTGTGGGGGACAGTGTGCCCCCTGTGCTCTGTCCCTCCAGCCCCTGCAGGCAGCTGGGCCCCTGGGTGCCCCAGCTGCCATGTGCTCCGTGTCAGGCCGGGGCAGCTCTCGGGGAGCCGTGCCCACAGCTGTTCTACATCCCCTCGGCTTTGGTATCTGTGACTGTCCAAATTACCTGTTACAATAAACCAACATCTCCAATCCTACAGGGCACTGTTGTATTTCTGCATTAGGGATGCACGCTGTGTTTAGGAGAACCTACAGCCATCAAGCCTTGTGTGGAAAGGATGGGGCTGGAGCAAGAACATCCTACAGGAAAAAAAGGAGTGAAAGGAAGGCTGGAGGGTTTGTTCTCGGATGGGGCCAAAGCAGTGGCAGCAGGACCGGGGCTTGGCTCTGTCCCCTAGGAACTGCAGGCTCTGGCTTGTCCAAGCAGGCTGAGCTGCTCCCTGTCCACTGCACCTTTCTCCAGCTGCCAAGGGCTTGTGCTCATGGATCTGCCCACCTGCTGCTCCTCACACCCCTGCCCCAAACTGGCTGGGCTGGAGGTGCCAGTGAGGCAGGCAGAAGCAGTTTCCTCTGGGAAGGATGTCCTGTGCAGGCAGCTGTTGAGAGCAGACAGCCCTGGGCTCCCTGTGCCAAGGTGAAGCTCACCCTGCTCAGCACTGGTGATGGCTTGTTTCCCACCCTCACAACTCAGATCAGCTCTGGTGAGCAAGAGCCTTCCCTCTCTCCTTGCCAAGGCCCACCAGCACAATTCCCTGGACAGGACAATCCACGTGCTTGTTTGCAGATGGAGGGTTCACCCCTCAGCCCATCCTTACAAGGACTCAGGGCACAGACACCAACTCACAGAACAGCACCTGGAAGTAGCCCAGGCTGCTGGGTGAGGTGTTTCAGCACAGGCAGAGGTGTCTGTGCCCCTTCCCCTGCAGGTGTGAGCTGCTGCAGCCACAGTGCAATGAACAGAGACCCTGGCCCCACATCCTCCCAGCTCTGTGGCCCTAGCATGGGAGAACAAAGCCTTGTGGATCACCAAACCCCTGGTATGATCCGAAGCCAACAGTGAGACTGTGTTGGTCAGGACACAGGCAGGGCAGGTCCCCTGGAGAAGGTGTTGCTGACTCCCCAGCAAGAACAGCCAAAGCAGCAGCACATCCCAGAGAACACAGCCAGACCTCATTTCAGAAATGTGAGTTCCCTGCTTGTTTTCACAGGGAGTTTCATGTCTTGTTTCTTGCATCACCACAGCTTCAAGACAGCCATGCCCACTCCTTTTTCTCCCTGCACTGTTTAGTTATGACTTCTCAGTGCTCTGCAATCCAGTATCAGTCAGAATCTTGCTGCAATTCACTTTATTACTCACCGATTTTAATTACACAGCTCACACAACCTTCCAAACTGCCTCCCCCGCTGCCTAGGGACTTTGTCCTGCCAGGACCAAGCCATAAGCAGTAGTTCCTTCCTCATGGGCAGCTCATTTCTCAAATGCTGGTCACTGCCTGACTACAACCACACCTCAGACCATGACCAAGAAGACACAATTTTATCAGCCTGTGACAGCATCAAGCAGGGACAAGTCTGACAGGGGTTGTGAGCCTTAGTGCCATGCAGCCTCAGTGCTGCAGGAGAGCTCTTGGGGAAACAAAAAAAAAGCGCCACAGCCTAAATTACATGTTAATCACAGAGTGTATTCACCCCATTCCCAGTGCTCCAGAACTGGCTGTACCGAGACATCACAACAGTCTCTCAGAAAACTCCATCCCCAGCCAGGATCCACCCTGCCAGCCAGGGCTGCTGGTAGACACTTGCCCGTGGCCGCAGCTTCGCTCTTGTCCGATGTCACTGTCGGGATTTGAAGGCCGTGGCCGCCATGCCCCCCAGCAGGGCGGCGAAGGTGCAGCCCTGGGCTATGACACGCGCCCGCATCATCAGCTGGGAGCGCCGAGTGTTGCCTTTCTTGAAGCAGATGATTCCGTAGACCAAGACACTGACGGTGCACAGACAGCCTGCGAGGAAGGACGAGGGCCGTGAGGAGCGGCTTCCCCCACACTCCCAAACCCGGGCCGCGCTTCCCGGGGGCAGCCGGCCCGGGGCTGAGGGACCGGCCCTCACCAGCGGCCATCGCGCCGGCCCGCGCCCCTCACTCCGCCTCCGTCCCGTCACCCCCCGCCCCACCCTCACCGAGGGGCACCAGGGGGTTCTCGCGGGTCTTGCGCAGGAACTTGTCCGCGAATCCCTCCTCAGGGAACGTGGGCAGCGGGCTGGGCTCCAGCGGCGGGGGCGGCCCGGCCGCCATGGCCAAGGTGACAGCAAGGCCCTTTCCGGCTGCCGTAGCCCCTCCTCCGGAGCAGTGCATGCCGGGGGTTGCAGTCCGACGCGCGCACTTACCGTGCGGCGCTGCTGTCTCGGAACTACACTTCCCGTGGTGCCCCGGGCCGGCGTGGCAGCCCCGTGGCCAGCCCGCGCGTGTCCGCCATGCCGAAGGCCAAGGGGAAGAGCCGGCGGCACAAATACTCCTACAACCTCAACCGCAAGCGGCTCTACCGCAGCGCCCGCCGCCGCGCCGCGCCCCGCATCGCCTGGTGAGCGCCGCGGACGCGGGGGGGCGGCGTGGGCTGGGACAGGGCGCTGCACGTGTCGGTGGGGAGGGGGCCGCGCACGGCCGCGGGGTTAGGGACACGGCCGTGATGTCGCTTGTCCCCGCGCAGCTCGCACATCCGCCATGCCTGGGACCCGCACAAGTCGGTGGCGCAGAACCTGGCCGACATGGGCCTGGCCGAGGATCCCAACAAGGCTGTCCCCATCCCGAAGAAGCTGCTGGTAAGGGAGGGTTTGGTCCGGGCCGCTCCTTTGTGGGGGGAGGTATCCTGGGCAGGTGGCTCTGGATAAGTCTCTGGCAGTGGACACGTTTCTTATCTTGATCTACGCGCATATCTCACCAAGATCCTGGCGTGGGAACGAGCTACAGCGCTCCCGAGACATAATGGACTTTAGAACAAATATAAAAAACGTCAGTCCTGGGACTTGCCAGAGTCAGGGGGGTTGGGAACGCTGCAGCCAAGTTGTTCCTGATAACAAAGAAGGGCTCTTTGTGTACAGCAGTGCCAGCCAGGCCCATCTGCGTAAGAGGGCAACACTTTCAGGTGAAAGGTGGCCCCAAGAAGCTCAAGGAAGAAGTGGGAATGACCTTGTTTGCCATTTGTCTTCATTCACACAGCGTTTCTCAGCTGACAGCCTTGCCCACAAGCCAGTTTATTGGCACAAGTAAAGCTCTGCTTAAGCCATCTGGGATTCCTGCCCCTTGCAGCCATGTAGAAACAGTTTGGAGTTTTGAGAACAATGTGTGTGGGGACACAGCAGTCTGCAGTCTTCCAATTGTGCTTTTCTTCATTTGTGTTTTCTCTGCTATAATTCAGGGGATGGAAGTGGAAAGTGATGGACAACAGCCAGGAAAGAAAATAGTGCGGAAGCCGTACGTGGTGAATGGTCAGTGCTGCATTTGGGCTTCTCCTGAGCCCCTGTGGGTTATTTTGTCACCCTGTGCTGTGCCAGGGGTAGGGAAGGGTGTTGTTTCTTATCCAGCCTTGTGGAGGAGCATATCTTTTCCACAGTATTTGTCCCTGCAGCCTCAAGAGGGCTCTTGTCACTGCGAGATGCGCTGGTGCTTGGCTCCAGGGTGACAAGAAGCCATGGAGGCAGTACCTGGTGTTTCAGTGGTGGGCTGGGCAGCTCTGAGCAGTCACACTGCAGCCTGGGCTGAAAGGGTCTGCTGCTCCTGTGTGAGCTGGAGAAGAGCTGCAGTGCAGGCCTGGATGTTGTCTGGGCCATTTTCTTGCACCATCCTGCTGGGAAATGTCCCTGCATGCACCAGCAGCCAAGCTGTGTGGCTGGAGTCAACCTTGGGGAGAGGCTGGGGATCTCTGAGGTGTTGTTGCTTCCTTCCCCTCCCTCATGCTACCTCTGCCCTCTGCCCAGAGATGGAACTGGAGGCCAGCCTCCCTGAGAAGAAGTCGAACACACTCTCACGGGACCTCATTGACTATGTGAGATACATGATCCAGAACCACGGGGAGAACTACAAGGTACATTCCAGAGCAAGGGATTCACTCCTGGATCTTCCCAACAACAGCATGAGAACTGCTAATCCTCTCTGTCCTGGATCCTGTTTTACAGTTAGCTGATTCTTAAGGGAAAAAACCACTATGAACTGTGGCCAGCTCCCTGTCTGAGTCAGGCAGTGATCACACTGCTGTGGGTGGGCTGGGTTGGTGTTTGCTCTTGGGGCTGCTCCCCTGACTTACCTTCTCCTTTGTCACAGGAAATGGCTCGGGATGAGAAGAACTACTACCAGGATACTCCCAAACAGATAAAGAGGAAAATCAATGTGTACAAGAATTTCTATCCCGAGGAGTACAAGAATTTCATTGCATCACTCAAGCCAGAAAAAATGGAAGTGCAGTGACTGTTCTTTTTCCTCAGGTTTACCTGCAAGTGAAGGCTTGAAATGAATATTTTCCAAACTGAAAAAGCCTCTGGGGATGGAGGAAGAACCTTCACTAGGCAGAGAGGGTTTTACTCTCCATGAAAGACTCTTGGCACTGGCACTGACTGTGCTGTTCTGCTCACTTTCTGTGTGGCAGCCAGCATTTCTTCAGCTTTGCTAAAATAAAGTACTCTTTCTAGCTGCTTGTGAGTGTCTTGTTTGTGGGCTCTTGCTTGGTGCAGTCCTGCTTTGGAGAGCTCCTGGTGATGTTAGCCTTGGACACGTGTCCCCCCCCTGCGGTGACAGGGCTGGGTGTGGGCAGCACTCACACTTTGGGTGATTGTCCTGTAGGCAGTGTAAGTTGGAGCAGGGCCATGTGCTGTGGCCTTCCCCTGTGCCTGCAGCTTGGGAGAGTAGACTGGGGTCCCTTTCTTGCAGAAGAACTGGAGGGCAGCAGAGAGGCTACCCTTTCATTGATAGAGGAAGGAGCAGCTGTAGAAAGGGTGTCACAGTGAGACTCTCTGCCACCTACTCTTGTTCCTGATGGGCTTGCCAGCTTCCAGGATTGTTTTTCCAGGACCTAGCGCCCTGTGGGCTGACCCAGCAACCTCCTGTCTGCAGGAGGACGGGACACGTGGGCAAGACACGACCCCAGCCCCGCCACCGGGCCGTGGGTGCTCTGGGGCCCCGGTAAACCGGCAAACCCCGCCTTCCCCACCCGAACTACAGCTCCCAGCGTGCCCCGCCCTAAACGACCGTATCTCGCGAGATCTCGCCCCTATAAAAGCGCCCCCGCAGGAGTAAGCAGCCTCCGGCTGAGGCGACTCGCGGCGATTCCGCTATGGCTGCTCCGGGCCTGTTCCTGCTGCCGCTCGCCGAGCCCCGCTGAGCCCCCGCCATGAGCTCTGGGAAGCCCGACGCTCCCGGTAAGGTTCCGCACCCGCTCCCCGCCGGGCTCGGTCGGGCGCGGCGGCGGGCGCTGAGCGCTGTGCTCTCTCCGCAGCGCTGGAGCCGGGCGGCGGGCCCCGCTCGGGCAGGATGTCGTTGCCCCTCGGCGTTCCACGCCGCGCCTTCAGCTACGATGATGCCCTGGAGGACACGGCGCCCATGACTCCGCCGCCCGCCGATCTGTGCGCCAGCGTGCTCTGGAAGCAGCCGGTCATCCCCGAGCGCAAGTACCAGGAGCTCTCGAAGGTACGGGCCCGGCTGGCCCCGGCATGTCCTTGGGTGCCCCGCAGCTCTGGCACCGTCTCCTGGCATCCCCCCCGTCCTTAAACCCCTCCTGCCCTCGCAGCAGGAACCTCGGGAGGGGCTGGGGACACAGCCCGGCACTGCTGCCTGGCCTTGCAATGGGCACATGGAGGTGTGGATGGGACAAATGTGTGCTGAGTGTCTCCTCCGTGTTTGTGGTTAAAAAAACCCCAGCAACCAGGTGTAATTAAAGTAGAGCATAAGGCTGGTTTAGGCTGGATGTAAATCCTTTACCGTAAGGGTGGTGAGGCACTGGCACAGTTTGTACAGGGAAACTGTGGCTGCCCCATCCCTTGAAGTGTTCAAGGCCAGGTTGGTGGGAACTCTGAACAAGCTGCTGCACTGGAGAGTCCCCCGCCATGGCAGGGGGTTGGAACTGGATGTTATTTAAGATCCCTTCCAACCCAAACCATGCTGGAATTCCGTGCTTTCTGTGCTTTGAGTGCAGGACCAGCCCTTTTAAATTTAGAGGCTGTTTTCTAAGTTTGAAATTAAGCTAAATGTTGTTGGATGGAAGAACTTAATTCTGTATCTCTTTGAGTTTAACCTCTGCTTTAAACCTCCTTGGTTTTTAAATCTCTTGTGGGAGACCACAACCAAAAAGTTGTGGTTTGGTACAAAAAAAACCTCTCCAGTAGGGAACTCCTGTGTTGGGTGGAGGAAGTCAGTGTTTCACAGGATACTTTGTTTTCTAGCATTTCTTTTCTGTTTCTTTGCTGGGGTCTAGTGGTTGATCTATGACCATTGGACACACTGAGCAAGAAACATGTAAGGAATGAGGTGGGAAAACAAGTTGTTCACTCCAGGCTCTGCTCTGTGACTGCCATTCTGTGAACAGCTGGTGCTTGAGCTGCCTGGGAAGGTGCTCTTGGTGCTTTTGCCCAGTTGACCTTGAAGTCCAGTTTGCATTTAGGAGAAGAACAGATGTTCTGGTTTCTTGCCTGTTGACCTTGTTGTACTTGGACTTACAGCTTGTTTGCTCTGAGCCTGGTAGGTGCTCAGATGTTGGATACAAGTCACTTGTTCATTGCCATGAATTCTAAGGTTCTGACCACTCCTGCTGCAGTGTGCACAGTGGAGGGATTTCTCCCATGGGATGAAGGCTGGCTGCCAGAGCAGCACCTTGTCTCACTTGTGTAGTTAGAGATGTCTCCTTGCCAGGTGCTGAGATACTTCCCCATCTCAAAACATCCCCTGCTGCTTCCCCACAGGATGAGGAAGGGGATGCCAACATGAAGCCTGTCATAACTCCTTCATCATCCACTGAAAGTGTGAACAAGGTGCCTGTGGTGAAGGCCAAGGCCACTCACGTCATCATGAACTCCCTCATCACAAGTAAGAGCTCACCTCCCACTCTCTCATGTGTGGCCTGGGCACTGAGGGGGCTCCAGCTTGCTGATGCCTCAGGGTAATTCCTGGAGAACTCTTGGGTTCAGACTGGCTCTGCTCTGGTGCTGTGTGAGTTTGTTTTTTTTCAGAGGATGTTTCTAGAAGGAAGCAAGGAACTGGGGAAGAGGCCACATGTGGTTCTTCTATGTTTCCAGGGGTGGGGTAGGAGTGCAGAGTTTGTTGTTTGCTGACAGGACACTGCAGTCCATGTTGTTGGAGTGCAGAGGCTGCTGCTGCTCTGTTTGATTATTAACTATCATTAACTATTTCTGAATGACAGGCAGAGCTCTACCATTAACCCAGGCAGTGAGGGGAGCTGACACACTCTGCTAATGGAGCACTTCAGGCATTGATGTTGTTAATAGCAACAGCTGCCTTGCTAACTGCAACACTTCTAAACATGAACCATGATGCTTTAAAATAAAATGGGGTCAGTTATGTTTGCAGAGAAGATGTGCCCTTTTGCAATGAGAGGAATTATTTCTGTGTTAATCTGTCCATGCTGCCTCTTCTTTCAGCAGCTACAAAAAGCAGGGATTCTTACCTGGTTTAAAGAAGACAGTGTCTTTTCCACTAACCTTTTTGTGCTCTGATTCCTTTTGACTTTTCTCCTTGTTCCACCAGGGAATGAACATCTTATGCTGGGGTTTGGAGGGAGTGCTTACGTTTTTCAGAACTGAAGCTGATATCAGTGTATTAGATGCTGGCTCTGTGTCTGGCTGGAATGGCTTATTTTACCTGATCTAAAATCACTGGGAGTCTTTAAAACATGACCTGCAAGGCTCCCTTGAATGCAGTGGGCCACTTAAAGTGTCCAACTTATTGGGTTCTCCTGGATTTATGAAGTTGTGAATGGGAGTGATGCAGTATTGGGGTGAGATGGGATTAATTACAGGTGTTGCATTTGTGGTATGTCTGGTGATTTGGGACAAATCACTGCTCATCTCACTGTCTCAGGGTGGTTGGCATGTCAGAATATCTCACCAGCTACATCTTTCTGCCTCAGCTTGTTACAGTGTGAGAAGGATGAAAAAAGGGGTTTGCATTCAGTTGCTAGAACTGCTTGTGGTGGCATTTCTGTGTGACTTTGTCCTCTTGTGTGTTCCAGAGCAGACTCAGGAGAGCATCCAGCGCTTTGAGCAGCAGGCAGGGCTGAGGGAAGCTGGCTACACACCCCACAAAGGCCTCACCACTGAGGAGACCAAGTACCACCGAGTGGCTGAGGCAGTCCATGTAAGGCTTGTTTTCCATTGCATTTCTCTGTGTAGGAAAGGTCTGGTTTAACATTTACCTGGTGACATAACTTCTGGAGTGTGTTGCCAAAACTTTCCTTAAGCTTCTTCCTCTGAAGGCTTTTAGCTCATTGTGTAGTAAAGTTTACCCAATTGTATTTTAAAATTAAAATTAGCCTTTGTAGTTTTGAAACAGCTTTTTTATTCTCAAATCTGTCACATTTCACTGTCATACCAGTCTATGACAGTTGTCTTTCCAAGTGGGGACAACCCTACACAATCGAATTTCTTGCTGTACTTTTGAATGGTGCCCTGCAGTTGAATTCTGTAACAATGTGTCCAAAGAGAACTTGTAAAGTGTACATTTACATTGTGGAAGTTACCAGATGTGTCTTACTGAAAACAAAAGTCTTGAATGAACATGTTACTGTGGGCTGCTGAGCTCTTAAAAAAAAAAATTGCACTTGGAGTTTAATAGTCAACTCTTGCAGTGTCCTCCCACGAGGCCAAAGTCTCAGTAACTGCGTCGATGAATTGCATTGGTGTGGCTTGAATGGCCACAGGAAACATTACAAGGTACCCTGTGTATTTTGTGTTTGAACTGTAACTGCCCTTCAAATGACTTCTTCAAAGTTCAGTTTGTACTGTCCAGCTTGTAAATAACATGGTTTGCATACAGCCAGTTCCTGTTTATTTTGTGCCCTGAAGGGGTTCATCTCTGTTCCAGGGCAGTGTTTCCATCCTGGTGTACACTAATTGCTTCACAGGGTCTGGTATTCCTGATCTTGTACCTTCTCTGAGAGCTGGTCTCAGCCTCATTAGAGAACTGAAAGCTTTGTTGCTCTGATTAGTACTGGAAACAAATGGATGCTGTGGCATTTAGAGCAGTTACCAGGTAGCTGAAGTGAGCTCTGCTGCATCCACAACCTCCCTATGAGGGCTGGTGTTCTTTCTGTAGCCTAAAGTGAACTTTAAAAATGCTAATATTTGATGTGAAGAGAAACTTCTGGGGATGTATGCAGGTATTGTAATACTGGATACAACTTTAGGTGTGGTGACACTTATTCTTTCTCACCTGTGATAGCAACAATTGTCTGGTTTTGGTTAAAAATGGGTGTTGTTCCTCATGTCAGTATTTAAGCTGTGTTGCTTCTGTTTCTCTTGCCTCTCCTGACAGAACCTAAAAATGCAGAATGGAGACACAACAAAAGATGACAAACAGAATTCTTCTGCTCAGTCCACTCCAAGCAGCACCCCCCACTCCTCCCCCAGGCATAGAAGCAGGTACTCTGCCTCCTTTGGTTTCCTACAGGCTGCTGGGGTGGGA